AAGGGCGGCTCCGAGAAGCCGCCAGGGGCGCGGGGCGCCCCCAACCCCGCCGGGCCCCCCCTCCGCGCCGGACTCCGCGGAGTGTCCAGCCCGCACCCACCTGGCTTCCAGCAGCAGCGGGGTCTCGGGCCACTTGGCGGCCAAGTGAGCCGTCACCGCCTTGGGAGCGGAGGCCGTCCCGAAGCGGAGCACCGAGAGCCACAGCGTCGTGGAGCCCAGGAGCAGCGGCACCGCGTTGGCCGCCTTTGCCATGACGCGAAGAGGGAAGCGCGAGCCGCTCGGACCCGGANGGACAAGCCCGCAGCCGCCACGCTACAGCCGGCTCCTCCCGACGCGCCGTCGCCCACTTCCGGTGGGGGGAGCTGGAGTCCGTTATTCCGGCGGGTCTGGCGTGTACCGGGCGCATGCGCGTCCAGCTCCGGCGCCGTCCGCGTCTCCGCCGCCGCCCGACTCCGGCAGGACCGAGCCACGTAGGTGCGGGCGGTGCGGGAACGTAGAGCCACGTGGCTGATGCTCAGGCGGGTCTGTGACCGGGTCTCGGACAGCGGACGGGCTGTGGGACATCGGGTGGGGAGGCTGGCTCCCCGAGACCGAACTGGGATTGCGGCCAACTACGGCTGGCTGGAAATGCCAAAATCTGGAAACGAAGGCAGGAACCAGCGTGGATAGTATCCACGTTTGCACACGCGGAAAATGAGGCCTAGCAAAGTTCAAGCACCTAGCTCACGGTTTCTCAAATTGTATTGCATATTAAGAGTCACCTGGTAGAGAGCTTTTAGAAAGCCGCATGCCCAGGCGACACCACGCACTATTGCAGGGGACTCTGGGATTGAGATTTGGGCATCAATAGTGTTTAACACTTCTCGCTCCCCTCCTCCGGTGATCGGTGATCGGAGTTCTGTAATCGTGTTGGAAACCAGTGGCATCATTTGGAGGGCTTGTTGAAACACAGCGTGCTGGGCCTCATCCCAGTGTTTCTGATTTAGTAGGTCTGGTGTGGGGGTCTCACAGTTTGCGTTTCACGTGTAATAAGTTCCCAGGTGGTGCTGATACTGATGCCTGGGGTTCATGGGTCTAGCCTTTGTACTCAAAAAGTGGTCCAAAGAGGAGCATCACCTGTAACCTCATTAGAAATGCAGACTCTCAGGTCCCACCCCAAACCTACTGAATCTGAATCCCCAGATTAACAGGAATCCCAGGTGATATTTGTGCGCATTAAAGTTTGAGACGATGGAGAAGAGCTGGTTTAGAGGATTACAGGTGAAATGCATAGAAAACTGCTAGGTGCATTTGTTATTATCAGCCAAAATCACACATACTGTGATTGAGTCTCGATTTCAACCAAGGACTGGCTGACCTAAAAACTCACACATTTTACTACATCAGGCTCAAAGACAAAAACCTCGCAACAGAGTTAAATGGTTTTCCAGTACAAATGATTCATCAAGCAAAGTATTAAGTTGTGCTTTTTTTCTTTTTTTTCTTTTTTTAAAAAACTGGGTAGAAGTGAAGCCTCAAGATTCTGGCTCCTAGCCAGGAATAATTCTTTTCCTATTCAGAAGAGAGTAAATTTATTATAAATATTAAAATACATGGTAAAGAGAAGCAGGAGCTAGGAAAAATAGTTTAGGGAGTGTACCGATCCATTCATTTTTCCCCGCCCGTTACTTCCTTGCCCTATAGGGAATCTTGAAGCTGCCAAAGTGTTTGCACTTCAGCTTTACATTTCCTCTCATGTGCTTACTATATACCTTTCCTTAGAAGATCTTGCTCTGTAAATTCTAGTCAGGTCTCACTTCCTCAGTATAGCCTTCATTTTCTGGCTTCTCCTACTTGGTATTATCTATCCCTCCTTTAAATTCTCATAAGTTCTTTTTTTAACTGTCAAATACCACTTATAATTCGAATTTTAGAATTTGAATACAATATTTATTTATTTCTTCTACTAGAGATGGTATATTCCCCGCGGGCTCATGCCTTATTCATTTTTAGCATCCCTTGCAGAACCTAGCACAGTACATGTTATTGAGGCTCAATAAATATTGAAGAGTCCTTGTTTCCTTGTTTTATGGATAGGTAGGCAGCAAGCTCAGGCAGATGAGTGAGGAGTTTCATTTCTATCCATAGAGCATAACACAAAAATGTATTATGAATTTTTAACAAGTATTTACTTTAATTGATTCCTCATTTCCACTTATTTTTGGACTAAATTTTTGACTGAAATTGTAAGATGAAGGAAATAAAATATTGACAGTGAATATCTTAAATGTTAGCATTTATCTGATGGGTTGCAAATCTTTAAGAAATTACTTTCCACCCGGCAGGGCGTGGCTCAGCGGTTGAGCGTCGACCTAGGATCCAGTCGATCAGGGTTCGATTCCTGGTCAGGGCACATGCCCAGGTTGCGGGCTGCAGCCGATCAATGACTCTCTCATCATTGATATTTCTGTCTCTCTCTCCCTCTCCTTTCCTCTCTCTGAAATTTTAAAAATTTTAAAAAAAGAAAAAAAAAGAAATGACTTTCCTATTGAAAGTCACACAAATAGCCCTGGCTGGTATGGCTCAGTTGGTTAGAGCATCATCCCATCCACCCAAGGGTCTTGGATTCCATTCCCAGTTAGGGCACATACCCAGCTTGCTGGTTCAGTCCCTGATCAGGGTGCGCATGAGAGGCAACCCATCAATGTTTCTCTCTCTCTCCCTCTCCCTTCCTCTCTCTCTAGAATCAGTGGAAGCATATCAGTGAGGATTAAAAAAAAACTCATCCAAATACACTATTAAAGGGCACTACTAAAATATATGCTAATATATGTTGTAGGTTATTTGAATTTAGAATAGTGAGGCATGCTGCATTTCTCTTTTAAAAAGAATGAAATTAATTTAATTCAGGGTCATTTATTTACATAATTATACATTTTAGCTTACATAGTATTTTCCTAGAAATCTAAGTGGGTTTGAAATATTCTGAAAATTGGTCGTCCCTGGGCTTGTTTCATTATCTGCAGGACAAAAGGTAGTAGGACTGGATGACATTCAGAGGTTAAGGGACACATTGAGAGAGGATGTGACTGCAGGTTGGTTAGCCACTCAGAGGCTCCTTCCCCTGTCTCCTGTCCTTGGAATATACTGTACATTCCACCCACATTTTCCACACTAGGAGAGAGCAATGTTATTGAGACCATCTGGACTGTACATGTGGCTGAACCCCATTAAAACCTCTATATAAACTCTTCAGATTCTGGCGGTGGGTGCAAAGATCTACTTGTCTTACAGCTGCCAAGATAAGCCTCGTATACATACATTCTCTTGTTCATTAAACCTGCCACCTACCAATCTGGAGTGCCTAGCCTCTTTCTTTGGTCTCTTTGCCCACTGTGTACAGGTGCAGTTTCAAATTTCATCAGGGGAACTTCAGAGGTTTTGAACCAACATTAAGGTCTCTTTTATAAGTCATGTCTGTGTACAGATAGAAAAATTAAAATGCAAAAATTGAGTAACTCAGCAAAGGTTATTCAAGTTAGTGGAGCAGCAAAGCATTCTAAAGTCCATTATCAATAATCCTTGAGCACAGATTGGTTATGAAGCAAATATAATTCAGGAACACAATGGTACTTTACTACGTTTTTAGCAAAATGTTATTCAGAGTTATTCATGTTGGGGTAATATGAATGAAAATTGATGATGATAGCAGTTTTCATTGTATGTGGAAGAAGTGATTAATGAGCGCTTTATAATAAGATTGTGTTTAATAGAATAAATTATCTAGAATTTTTTTAGATAAAGCATGCACTGTGTTTATTTAATGAAAATAGTGGTGCTATGTGAGGATAAAGTTACTGTCAAGTTATCATGTAATATAATAAAGCTTTAATTTTCTCCACCTGAGTAAAGTCTCACAGCAGAAGTGGCTTTTTAAAACTATCACTCTGTAGGGCTTCGAGGTTTCCCTCACTGTAAGAAACAGCCTATTCTCCCTTTTAACTTTGAATATATGAAATATATGAAAGTATCCTACTCTTTATTCCAGTTGAAAGAATTTATTGACTTAAGTAAAAAAATCCCTAGGTGAGATTACACTAAAATCATAACCAAGTGAGTAGTGGATTAGTTTCATTTACTTTAGTGTCACTAAATTTTTTATAAGTTTGTATATTTTAAAATAGATTACAAATACCTCACAAATGGCTAACTCCAGGTAAATTTGATGGAACTTTTTGAGTGTAGTTTATTACAGTGACTTTCAAATAGTAAATTAAGTATGTGAGATATATAATTTTAAATCAATCATATAGGATGATATAAGAACTTGAAATCTGCTATTTAGCAACAACCTTCTATACTTACATATGTGGCCTGTATTTTATAATCATGCATTTATTTGTTTTGTTTCTTCAACAAAACACACAAGATTGAAACATGGTGGAAGACAAAGAACATGTTCTGCTTTTACATCTTCTGGTAGAGGGTAGTATAGTTATGTGCAAACTCATTAATTCAAACTATATCGTGTATCATCTATGGGAAGGTGACAGTATCATATATTGGGGAAAATACTGAGATGAATAAAATGGTTAATGTCTTCAAAAGGTTTACAGTATAGTAAGGAAATAAAAACATATGCCAATAAACCATTACAGATGAAAGTTAATAAAAGTCTATGGAAGTCCAGAAGACAATTTTTAAAGAAATCATACTGAACAAATAAACAGCTTTACTGAATTTTCTCATTAAAATTATTTCCTGTGTTTAAATCTAGCACTTTGTGAAGCTGCACAATTTTTTTAGTCCCTAGGGAAGCATCTAAAAAGTGCTGTCATGATCAACAATAAAAATAAGCATTTATAGAGCAGCTGCTTTACATTTGTCATGAAACACGGTCTCAAACCCAAGTGACTGTTTCATGTGGTTGGGAAGGTAGTAGAGTACATAAAAAGTAAATTAAAATGCATTTTATGTGACAAGATCTAAAGGACTGGCACTTTACAATAAATATGACAGGAATTAAAGGAGGAGGCAATCTCAAGAAAAGCCTCACAGAATAGATGGTGTGACTATACTTTGAAGGAACTATAGATGGCATGGATGACAGCTCTGCCATTGTAACATTAATGCAGCCACAGGCAATACGTAAACAAATGGACATGGATATATCCCCCAAAACTTTATTTATTGACACTGAATTTCCTATTTTCATATATCATAAAATATTCTTCTTTTATGTTTTTTTAAAAGAATGTAAAAACCATTTCTAATTCCTAAGCTATACATATTTGAGACTTGGGCCACAGTATGCCAACCCCCGCTCTAAAGAAGGTTTTGCAGGAAACCTATACAAGAAAGCTTATAGAATTATTGTTTACAATAACAAAAAAATTGGACACAGCTCCAATGTTCACTGAAATAGAGTGACAAAATAAATTGTGGTTTATTTGTAAAATGGAATACTAATCAGCAGTGACAATAAATGAAT